GGAGGGATTTATGAAGCATCTTCCTTCTCGTAAGTCGTAACCCCTTTTTTAGAGTAAATTATTTGAAAATATTCTTACTTTTAGATCCATTTCTTGGTATTTATAATATATTAGGCCAATACCAGCGCGTACGCGCGAGTTTTCTGTCTCAAGAAAAAGAGTAAGACATTTCTTAACGTATTCTTAACGTATTCTTCATTGTTACATATAGTGCATTCTCCGAAGACCATCTAAGCTTTTAAACGTTTTAAGGAATAACATGAGATCATCATAGCACCTTTCCTTAGACTTTATCGTGTCATTTTCTTTCTATGCACCAACTGAAATAAGTGATCTTCTAGTATATAAAGTCTAAAGACATAATCTTGTCTGAGACACAATAGATACGTAATACATAGGTAAGATCATAAACATGTGAGAAGTGATAGGGAAAACGATATATTTCTCCACTATAAATATGATTTCCGCTTATATACTGTCCAAAATATTATCTCTATCTATATGACTCTGAAATTAAAGTTCCATACCTATATGTCCATCAATTGGAAGTTAAATATCTATATACCCATAAATCTGATTTAGATCGATTTCTAGGTAAACCCGAGACCAAACCGACAGAACTGGATTTTAAACGGAACCTTGACCCGAACCAGAACCTGATCCGTTTAAAATCTAAACCCGAGTCTTTATAACCCGACCCGACTCCTAACTCCATGGCTTTGCAAATCTCTGTCGTCTTCACCAATCATCCTCCGCCACAACAACATTCTCCGATCAATCTCCCGAACGCCAAGTCCAAGCTCGTATCCTCCTCTCTGCTTACAATCTCGCCGCTTATTCTCCTTATGATTTCAAAATTTTGCTCTTCTTTATATCGCGGACGTAACAATAGCTTTGGACTCTGTAGCAACCTGGAGAGCTCTTACTAAACCTCTAGACTGGCCAAGATATCGATTCTTATTGCAACACATTAAGGCTCTTCAATCTCAGTTTGCTTCATGCTCATTTGAATTTGAATCGACGACTACTAACTCTATTGCAAGAGAAATTGCAAGGAGTGTTACGCGTGATGGGAGGTTCAATTCATACCTCACACTTGACGGATCATTTGTGCTTCACGATTGTATTAATAGAGATGCTTCCTTTTAACATCTTTTAGTCCCTTCATTTTGGGAATTGATGTTGCTTTGTTTCAGTTTTACATGTTCAGATACTATGTTACTTTTTCTAATAATATAAAAAAAAAGTTAAAAATATGATGTGATGTAAATTCAGTGGAGTTTAGTTAGACTCTTACAACCAACTCTACAAGAAAACATGTTATTAGTGACTACTTTTTGTGACTGTTTTTTTAGTCACAAATTTTTGCGACTCTTTTACAACTAATTTGTGACTGTTTTGTGACTACCGAATATACAGTCACAAAATAGTCGCATATTTACGACCAAAAATATTAGTCGTTTAATAGTCTTTAATTAGCGACTGAATTGGGACAGAGATAAAAACAGACATAGATTTGAGACTGTTTTGTGACTCCGTTTTTAGTCAGTAACTATAGTCGCAAAAACAGTCACAGAATTGCCACTATATTGCTATTGATTTGTGACTAATTATTGTAAATAGATTAGTTTTGGGTTTCTACATAGATACAACTGCTAGTTACACTAATATATTATCAACTAGTAAATTTTTTTATTTAACAAAATTTTATAAACTTTAACTTATCTAATATTTGCATCTTACATAACAATTGCCTTTATATTACATATACGTTTGCAATCTAATGATTGTTGAAGTGTATAATTTTTCAAACTTTACTTAACTAGTATTATTCAACACTACATAATCAAGCATAGACTTAATAAATATACTAGGAATTATCGATTAACAATGTGTATCAATTTTAAGGGTTTAAATGTTTAGGGTTTAGGGTATAGATTTGTGACTAGCAAATTAGTGTTACAAAACAGTCACCAATTTGTGACTACTTTATTCTATCGTTACATTTTTGCGACTACTTTGTGACTTTTCTATTTTAGCATTTTCAAATGATTTGAAATTTTTGTGAAATAATTTGGGTTTTTGAGCGGGAATTTATCCTTCCAAAAATTTTGTTATGACTAGTTACAAGTAGTGTAAAATAAATGCTATGTATATTTTTTTGTTCAGAAAGTAACTCAATTTAAACAACTGTTTTTCATATGTTTCACTTTGTTCAACAGTCACCTATTTTTGCTTCTAAATGTTTAGGGTTTATGGTTTCGGTTTGCCACTACAAGAAATAGTCACAAAATAGTATCATATTTGTGACTAATTTGCGATGCGTACTTATATATGTGACTGTTTAGCAACTCTCCGTAACTGTTTGAAAAATTTAACAAAGGATTTCAACTAAAAAGTTTAGTTTTAGATATGTACATATAGGTGAACTATATGTTACACTAAATATATCGTATAACAGTCAAATTTTAAAAATTTTTATTTCAAAATTATTTTTTGTGTGATCCACTAGATGTATTAGAATAACCTACTTGATATTTCAATATAATCTTTGTTCAACTGTTATATCATTGTGAATTCATTCCATTAACAACATTTTGCCCTATATAATCATAAAGAAAACTCTCTTAATCGACAAACAACCAATTGGAACACTAGATGGCTCATAATTTTGCTTCTAAATGTATAGGATTTAGGGTTTAGGGTTTAGATTTGCAAATACAAAAAATAGTCACAAAACAGTATCGTATGTGCGACCACTTTATGACTATGATAACATTTGTGACTATTGTGCTATTACATTCAATTTTTTTTTAATTTTGAATTCAAAAACATTTGGGCTTTTCGGCAAAGTTTTGTGGGTCTATTGGACGCATTAATTTACCCCCAAACCAAATTTTTGGGATTCCTTTATTAAAAAACTGTCGAGATAAAGATCCCAAATCACTTTTCACAAAACCCTAATCTCTCTCAACTC